CCTGTGAACATTTTACCCTGTTGTGGGGCACTAATCAACACCTCCTGCCCTCTGCCCCAGAGAGGGCTGCATTTTACTAATAAGAGAAAAAAATTCCCTAAAGTGATAATTATGTCCATGTCCCTTCCAAGTTTCATTGGGATAGGCAGGGATACAATTATAATTTTAAACATAATTGTACAGGGGATGTGAAGTTGTTAACACACATTTTGAGTTCCCAATGATCCATCAGCCACGATCTGGATCAGGATGGTGGGTCCTGGGGAGGGACAGCGCTGGCAAAGGGGCCAAAGGCTGACGCTGTGCACACAGAAACACACTTGGAACACTATTCCAATGAATCCATCCAGCTGGGTAGCTTGGCATTTGACTCCCATCCTCGAAGGACGTGGCACTATTAATTGAGGAGACTGAAAAATTGATGCGTTTTGATCGGGGCAAAACACCAACCAACCAAACAAACAAAAAAAAACCCCACAAGTTTTATGGGGAGAGAGAAAATTTCCGGTACCTGCGGTGGAAAACCTTCGGCAACGCTGAAACAGAGCTCGGTCCAGCAGGGAACGGGACACATCGCCGAGGTGCGGCATTGCCATCGTGTGGCCATCTCGGCTCTGCAGAAACACCAGCAGGGAATCGGAACCTCGCCCCAGATTTGCAGCTTTCTCAATTGCCTTTGTTATGTGCAGCCTGCAAGTGGCGATGCCCTCTCCTGACATCCCACTCCGAAGGAAAACAGTCAGTTCTCCAGACCTGCTCTCCTCTGTGTCGGGCCCAGTGCTGCCAGGGTGACGCTGCACTGCGTGACTGGACATCAAAAAATGTACAGAAACGTCAGAAATGACAAATGGAACATTCCTGATGTCAGGAAGCCAATCTTTAGGAGCAATCCGAATGAGAACAGCACAATGGCCTGGATCAGGAAGGAACCCCAGCACAGGAAAATACGTGGAAGTTAGTGTAGAGTCAGGAGTGGAAAACAAAGCTAATTAATCAAATTAGGAATTCAAGAAGAAAATGAAACAGTGACAGAGGGCAAATCGAAGTGGAATGCAGAAGGAAACTGTGATAAAACCTGCAGATGGAAAAGTACATAGAGAAGCAGCAAAGAATTAAACCAGATCCAAGGATGACAAGGGGTTCATATGAGAGCAGCAGTGAAGGCAAATAAACTTTCTGCTTGAGCCAAAAGCTGTTCACCCACACAAAACTCGTGTTTTCCCTCATCTGGCACCCTGCCCATGCAGAGTACGATTGAGCCCATGGAATTACAGCCTCGGTGGGGGGGATACAAACTTCCTAAAGGAGGGACAACCTGTTGCAGAATTACAACAGGAGCTTTCTGGCCAGCTGGCACAGCAGGCAGATACCCAGGGAAATCATTTGGTAAATGAACTCAGTAGGACGTTTGTCAGGACACCCAAATTTCAGCTATAAAACCTCCTATCAAACGGCACCAAAGAACCAAATGAATTATTAAAAACTCCAGAGACGGAAAAAGTATTGACAGGCACAGAACAGCATCTCAAACTCCCACCGGTGCCTGGCCCTGCAAGAGCAAATCCTGTTTGTGTTCCTGTCTCCCAGCACCTGGCACCTGGAAACACCCAAAGGAACCTGGAACAACTGGGGCCAAGTTCCTGCACTGGGAAAGATCCTTCTGCAGCTGAACTGCCCAGACCGAGGAGCCAGGAGGAGCCTCCTTCTTGTGCACCACGGAATTTGCAGAGCAAGCTTGCAAGAGCCCTAAAGGGAAAGCCTAAAATTTCACTGAAGGAAATCAGATCAATATTTCCTACTATCCTGAGCTGGAGCTGCTGAGATGGTAATGATACCATTTTTTTTAAGTTTTTCGTTTCTCATGTTTGCATGTTTGTTTTGCCAGACTGAATCCCAGAATCACCTGTATTCAATCCTGAAAAGCGTGGTTGTTTCTGTTACACAGATTGTCCTGTCTAGGGTCAGGGGGCTGAAGCCAGGGGAGTGTTTTTTTGCTCATGTTTTTAGCAAAAAGGCTGGCTTGTGAAAACTAAGAATGCTCCCAGGCTGTGAGAGTTTTGTTCTGTGTGTCACCAAGCAAGTTTCCATATGCTGCTACAAGTCTCAGTAGCTTTTTGAAGAGATTGTGCCCTATTATTTTTGTGGTTTTTTAAAGTACAAAACAAATCAAAGGGTTGAATTACAATATTCCTTTCCTTTTTCGCTCAGGGCTGTCAGCTCAGGCATAGCTGACATAAACAGGGAGATTTTTCAAACCCGAACATGAGCCCAGGAGAGAAAACCATTTTCCAAGAGTTTCTGACAAACCAGGGCACTGTGGTAAAGCCCTGCTGGTGGCAGAGACAGTGCCCTGCCTGTGCCAAGTGTCCCTTCCACATCCGGACGGGGGAAGAAGCCAGAGTGCCACTCACAGAATTCCACGGGCTCTTTGGCTCCCCAGACAGGCCCGCAGCGACTCCTCAAAACAGGCACCTTCTCTTCTACGAGCTGATGAGCTGCTCAGGCAGAGTCCTGCAGAAGGGCCACGCCACAAACTGCACTGCCCGAGCCCAGCACCCCGAGGCTGTGCTGTTCGAGGCGGGCGGGTACCTGGACGCAGCCACAGCCGCCTGTGAAAGCATCAGGGGCATCGCCCTCTACTCGAATCTCTCCCCCTGTGGCGAGGCTCAGCACTGCTGCTTGAGGAAGATGTACAACTTCCTGCTGAGACACCCACACGTCACGCTCCGCATCTATTTCTCCCGGCTCTATCGCGCTGGGAATGGCTCTGCCAGTGCCATGGGGGATGCCAGGGCTCTGCGGAGCCTCTGCAGCCTCTGGCCCCGGGTGACCCTGCAGAGGCTGCCAGAGGGGGCACGGCAGTACCTGCTCTGCCACTTCGTGTGTGGCATCACGGGGGCAATCCCTCCTCACCCGGCGCTGCTGCCATCGGGAGCCTCAGCAGGTCGACAAAACCCACGTCAAATTAACTTAACGGGAGTGAAACCGTATTTTAGGGAAAGTTGTCCCCGGGGAGCGGAGGAGAACCCGGCTGTGCGGCAGAATTTAAAGGTCTTCCCCTCTCCCCGCCCGGCCTCCCGACAGCCTTTCCCAGCCGCGAAAGGCACTCTGCTCCCTCCGATGTCTCTAAGCCCTGTGCCTTCTCCAGGCGTGTTTCTGCCCTCTCAGAGGGAACAGCTACACCTCAGACCCATAAATATTGTAAGGCATTTAAAAATGCCAAAGGAATGACTCAGTGGAACTCCTCATTTCCCTGTGGCACGCACCTCTTCTGAGGATGACACACATCCCTCCGCTTTTGGGTGTGAAACTTAGATCACAGATAGCAAAAAGCACCATTAAAATCCCCTCTTACCCAAGTTAACCCACAGTGTAAAACCGTGGGTCTCAAATAACCGATTATGAACGTCCTTATGTTTTAATCCTCTACCTCTCAAACACAAATCCAGAGTCGTAAACCCCAAAGCTCTGTATTCCCTGCCCGTGGCAGGGGGTTGGAACTAGATGACCTTTGAGATCCTTTCAACCCAAACTATCTGATTCTGTGACATTTTAATTATCCCCTGCAATTAATTTGTTGCCTTTAAGCCAATTTCTATGAGAAAAATGTCAGATACAGTCCCCAAGCTACAACCTCATTTACAGCTGGATTGCGGCTTCCCAGGTGAGGCAGCTTTGGTGGAACACGACACATCCTAAATTCCTCCTCCATCAGCAGGGTGGTCCTGCAGGTAGAGCTGATGCAGGAATAAATTTTCCCACAAGCTGTTCCCTTAATGACAGGGATACTATATAATATACAATATATAACAGGGATTATATATATATCTCTCATATATGTGTGTGTATATATATAAATATATAAAATTATATAAATATATAAAAATATATAAAAATATATATAGGGTTGCTGCCTTTCATTAAGAGGACCCTCACAAAGCTGCGTAATTCCCTGGTTAACAATAGGGTAATAATTACCTGCACAGTCCAAATGTAACTTTAAAAAAATAATTCTACACTTTAGAGCAGTGTTTTGTCTTTGTGATTCAGTATCTTTGTTAATATACTAAAGGTCTTAGAGAATGGGGCAAGGGGCAGTGGACAGAGGGACCCAGACAGGCCTGGGAAGTGGGAGCATGGGAATCTCATGGGGTTTAACAGGAACAACTGCTGGTGCTGCACCTGGGTTGTGGCAACAACACGGGGATCAACTGTGGGATCAAGCCAGGCTGGGGATGAACAGATGCAGAGCATCCTTGGGGAGAAGGACTTGTCGGTGCTGGTGGGTGAGAGGCTGGACATGACCCAGCCACGGGTGCTGGGACCCAGAAACCCCCCCATGTCCTGGGCTGACCCCAAGCGTGGGCAGCAGGGCAGGAGGATTCTGCCCCTCTCAGGTGAGACTCCCCTGCAGAGCTGCCTCCAGCCCTGGGGAACGGCACGGGAAGGACATGGAGAGAGTCCAGAGGAGGCACCAACATGATCAGAGGGCTGGAGCAGCTCTGCTGGGAGGAAGGGCTGGGACAGCTGGGATTGTTCAGCCTGAAGAGAGAAGCTTTGGGGTGACCTGATTGTGGCCTTCCAGTGTCTGAAGGGAGCTTATAGGAAAGATGGAGAGAGACTGTTTACAAAGGCCTGAGTGCCAGGACAAGGGGGAACGAGTTCAAACCGAAAGAGGGTAGGTTAGGGTTAGATATCAGGAAGAAATCCTCCCCTGTGAGGGCGGGGAGGCCCAGGCACAGGCCGGCCGGAGAAGCTGTGGCTGCCGCACCCCTGGCAGGGCTGGCCGGGGCTCGGAGCGC